GAGAGCAAGATATACTGCAGAGGGGCATGAAGATTTCCCAGGAAGAGATAGATCCTACAAGAAGAGAGGGATCCTACAAGAAGAGGGAGATCCTACGAGAAGAGAGGGAGATCCTAAAAGAAGAGGGAGGTCCTACAAGAAAAGAGAGAGATCCTACAGGAAGAGAGAGAGATCCTACAAGAAGAGGGAGATCCTACAAGAAGAGGGAGATTCTACAAGAAGAGAGGAAGATCCTACAAGAAGAGAGAGAGATCCTACAAGAAGAGAGATATCCTACAAGAAGAGAGAGATCCTACAAGAAGAGGGAGATCCTACAAGAAGAGAGAGATCCTACAAGAAGAGAGAGAGATCCTACAAGAAGAGAGAGATCCTACAAGAAGAGGGAGATCCTACAAGAAGAGAGAGAGAGATCCTACAAGAAGAGGGAGATCCTACAATAAGAGGGAGATCCTACAAGAAGAGAGAGATCCTACAAGAACAGAGAGATCCTACAAGAAGAGAGGGATGTCCTACAAGAAGAGAGAGATCCTACAAGAAGAGGGAGATCCTACAAGAAGAGAGAGAGAGATCCTACAAGAAGAGGGAGATCCTACAAGATGGGCCAGCAGGCTGAGGATTGTGTTGACAATAGGACATTTACCATAGAGTCTTCTTCGAGGAAAGATCTGCAGGGAAATGTATCTGGTCGCAGAGGGGACTGGTGTTCTGGATGTAAGTCCTCCTACATGTGACCGCGGCACACTCGGCACCTACAAGAAGAGAGAGATCCTACAAGAAGAGAGAGATCCTACAAGAAGAGAGGGAGATCCTACAAGAAGAGAGAGATCCTACAAGAAGAGAGATATCCTACAAGAAGAGAGAGATCCTACAAGAAGAGAGAGAGATCCTACAAGAAGAGAGAGATCCTACAAGAAGAGAGAGATCCTACAAGAAGAGAGAGATCCTACAAGAAGAGAGAGATCCTACAAGAAGAGAGAGATCCTACAAGAAGAGGGAGATCCTACAAGAAGAGAGAGAGAGATCCTACAAGAAGAGGGAGATCCTACAAGAAGAGGGAGATCCTACAATAAGAGGGAGATCCTACAAGAAGAGAGAGATCCTACAAGAACAGAGAGATCCTACAAGAAGAGAGGGATGTCCTACAAGAAGAGAGAGATCCTACAAGAAGAGGGAGATCCTACAAGAAGAGAGAGAGAGATCCTACAAGAAGAGGGAGATCCTACAAGATGGGCCAGCAGGCTGAGGATTGTGTTGACAATAGGACATTTACCATAGAGTCTTCTTCGAGGAAAGATCTGCAGGGAAATGTATCTGGTCGCAGAGGGGACTGGTGTTCTGGATGTAAGTCCTCCTACATGTGACCGCGGCACACTCGGCACCGACACAAATATTTTATTTGGTAAACAAGAAGACAAATTCTACTGCGAGAGAAGCAAATGAAGAGAAAATCCTAAATAACGGCAAAGTACGGCTTTGGCTCCGATCTGGCAGAGAAGGGGTTAAATCTGTCACAATGATATTCCTCTGGTTGGTAATGTGGAGAGATTTCTCCTTTAATGGCGGTAACCTCGGGGTCAGTCACAAATGATATTACAGCTTCTGGCTGGCGGGCAGCCATGGGGGGGTCACGGCGCGCCGGTGCCCCTTCTCCGGCGCAGATATTACAGAGGTGGTGTGTACAGCCCCAGCAACTGACAAGAAGTGACATTATGACAGATGGCCTGCCCAGATCCATGTCAGCCATCACCCTCATCACCTCTGTAATGTAATCTCCCCCCCGCCAGAACATCGCCACAGACCAGGGCAGAGCTATTCCCATCGGAGGGGAAGACAAATCATCTCTACATGGACTACAACCACGGGAACCCACCGAGACAATGATGGGATTGTCCACATGAATCCCAACTAAAGAGGAAACAGCAATCACCACTCTCTGACCGAGCTTATAACACTGCTAGAGGTCTTCCACTATTGTGTTATGATGGTGTCCAGTGGTCAGTCATGTTGGGGTGTCCAGTGGTCGGTCATGTTGGGGTGTCCAGTGATCGGTCATGTTGGGGTGTCCAGTGATAGGTCATGTTGGGGTGTCCAGTGGTTGGTCATTTTGAGGTGTCCAGTGGTCAGTCATGTTGGGTGTCCAGTGGTCGGTCAGCTTGGGGTGTCCAGTGGTCAGTCATGTTGGGGTGTTCGGTGGTTGGTCCTGTTGGGGTGTCCAGTGGTCGGTCATGTTGGTGTGTTCAGTGTTCAGCCATGTTGGGGTGTCCAGTGGTTGGTCTTGTTGGGGTGTCCAGTGGTCGGTCATGTTGCGGTGTCCAGTGATCGGTCATGTTGGGGTGTCCAGTGGTCAGTCATGTTGGTGTGTTCAGTGGTTGGTCTTGTTGGGGTGTCCAGTGGTCGGTCATGTTGCGGTGTCCAGTGATTGGTCATGTTGCGGTGTCCAGTGATCGGTCATGTTGGGGTGTCCAGTGGTCGGTCATGTTGCGGTGTCCAGTGATCGGTCATGTTGGGGTGTCCAGTGGTCGGTCATGTTGGGGTGTCCAGTGGTTGGTCATGTTGTGGTGTCCAGTGGTCGGTCATGTTGGTGTGTTCAGTGGTCGGTCATGTTGGGGTGTCCAGTGATTGGTCATGTTGGGGTGTCCAGTGATTGGTCATGTTGGGGTGTCCAGTGGTCAGTCATCTTGCGGTGTCCAGTGGTCAGTCATGTTGGTGTGTTCAGTGGTCGGTCTTGTTGGGGTGTCCAGTGGTTGGTCATGTTGGGGTGTCCAGTGGTCGGTCTTGTTGGGGTGTCCAGTGGTCGGTCATGTTGGGGTGTCCAGTGGTCGGCCATGTTGGGGTGTCCAGTGGTCGGTCATGTTGGGGTGTCCAGTGGTTGGTCATGTTGGGGTGTCCAGTGGTCGGACATGTTGGGGTGTCGAGTGGTCAGCCATGTTGGGGTGTCCAGTGGTTGGTCATGTTATGGTGTCCAGTGATTGGTCATGTTGGGGTGTCCAGTGGCCGGTCATGTTGGGGTGTCCAGTGGTCGGGCATGTTGGGGGGTCCAGTGGGCGGGCATGTTGGGGGGTG